TGTGTAGGCAGCACGATAAACCTCTGGAGCTGTTCTGTAAGACCGACCAGACGTGTGTCTGCATGCTCTGCTCTGTTTTAGAGCACAGGACACATGAGTTTGTTCCTCTGAAAGAAGAATATGAAGGAAAGAAGGCAGAGCTGGGGAAGACAGAGGCCGAGATTCAGCAGATGATCCAGAAGAGACGAGAGAAGATTGAGGAGCTCAAACAGTCAGTCAGGATCAGTAAAGAAGGTGCAGCCAGAGAGAAAGCAGCAGGTGTTCAGGTCTTCACTGCTCTGAAGGAGTCTGTTGAGAGAGGCCTGATCCAGCTCATCAAGGAGATCGATGAGCAACAGGAAACCACAGAGCAACAGGCTGAAGGCTTCATCACAGAGCTGGAACAGGAAATCTCTGAGCTGAGGAAGAGGAGCACTGAGGTGGAGCAGCTCTCACACTCTGAAGACCACCTCCACCTCCTCCAGAGCTTCTCCTCCCTGAAAACTGCTGCACCCACCAAGGACTGGACAGAGGTCAGAGTCCGTCCTCCGTCATATGAGGGGACTGTGGTGAGAGCTGTGGCTCAGGTAGAGGAGACGCTTAGAAAACAGATGAAGAAGCTGTTTGAGCCTGAGCTGAAGAGGGTCCAGCAGTTTGCAGTGGATGTGACTCTGGACCCTGATACAGCACAACCTAACCTCATCCTGTCTGATGATGGGAAACAAGTGAATCACGGTGATGTGAAGAAGAATCTCCCAGACAAACCAGAGAGATTTTCTCTGTGTCTTTGTGTCTTAGGAAAGCAGAGTTTCTCTTCAGGCAGATTTTACTTTGAGGTTCAGGTCAAAGGAAAAACTGGGTGGGCTTTAGGAGTGGCCAGAGAGTCGGTCGACAGGAAGAGGCTCATTGTGATGAGCCCTCAGGATGGTTACTGGACTGTATGGTTGATAAATGGAAATGGGTACAGAGCTCACACTGGCCCTTCAGTCCGTTACTGGACTGTATGTTTGAGAAATGGAAATGAGTACTATGCTTTCACTGGCCCTTCAGTCCGTCTCTCCCTGAAGTCTGGGCCTGAGAAGGTGGGGGTGTTTGTGGATTACGAGGAGGGTCTGGTCTCCTTTTATGACGTAGATGCTGCAGCTCTTATCTACTCCTTTACTGGCTGCTGCTTCACTGAGAAACTCTACCCGTTCTTCAGTCCCTGCAATAATGATGGTGGTAGAAACTCTGCTCCTCTGATCATCTGTCCTGTCAATCAAACTGAATTATAAATGATGTCCATCAATCCATCCATCTTTATGCAAGACCGGGTCGCGGGGGCAGTAGTCCGAGCAGAACCTCCCAGACTTCCCTCTCCCCACACACTTCCTCTAGCTCCTCAGGAGGAACCCCAAGGTCTTCCCAGGCCAGCCAGGAGACATAGTCTCTCCAACGTGTCCTGGGTCTGCCCTGAGGCCTTCTCCCAGAGGGACATGCCTGGAATACCTCCCCAGGGAGGCGTCCAGGGGGACATCCTAAACAGGTGCCACCTCAACTGGTTCCGCTCAACGTGGAGGAGCAAGCTGCTCTACTCCGAGCTCCTCATGGGTGACTGAGCTCCGCACCCTATCCCTAAGGGTGCACCCAGCCACTCTCTGGAGGAAACTCATTTCTGTCGCTTGTATCCACGATCTCATTCTTTCGGTCATGATCCAAAGTTCATGGCCATAGGTGAGGGTAGGAATGTAGATCGACCAGTAAATTGAGAGCTTCGCCTTACGACTCAGCTCCTTCTTCACCACAACGGACTGGTACAGAGACCGCATTACTGCGGACGCTGCACCAATCCATTTGTCAACCTGCTGTTCCATTTTTCCCTGACTTGTGAACAAGACCCCGAGATACTTAAACTGCAAGCTATATTTTCAGCTCAAAAAGAAATGACTGACAAAACATGCTATAAAAGTATTAAATTGTTTCTATTTCAGAAGAAGTCACTGAAAAAGTATCACTTAATATTCTACGGCGTCATGAAGCTGCCTCTTGTGTGTTCACAAGACAGGAGTTGTCATTGTTACATGGAATATTAAAATGTAAAATTTTCTGGCATTTTTTCTGAGAAGTGTTTTGAAGTGGCCAGTTTTTAATTTGTGAACACTGGTCAGGTGGATTATAACTTAAAGAAAACTGTAAAAACTAAAGAATAAAGTGGACTAAGAAATCACTGTCATGTTGTCCACCACATGTATTGAATTTTATATCATTTAAATGACTATTTTGTGTATTATATGTGTTTACACATATCATGGCTGCTGGATGTGCACTACGGAATTAGTTTCACATTCACATTTATTGTCGTAAGAAGTCTAACATATGCTCATGTGTGAACTGTGTGAAGCTATTCTATGTCATGTCTGTGATTTATTTAGCTTCTAACTGGCTGGATAAAAAAGATTTTTGGATTAATTGCAATTCCTGTATGAGCATTTCTTTTCTTGAAAACCAAAATTGATTTTTGCATTTGCTGGTTTTCTCACTGCACTAAATATTACGTGTAAACAGAAAGTTACTTGTTATAAGAGGTTCACAAACTGCGCAGTGTGTAAAATGTCTTCTTTGTGGAAAACAAGTTGTCACCAGGTGAACAGAAAGTAATTTTAATTTCTAAAGTAATGGCGATGATAACTGGATATTTCAGCCACTTCGCAGGATGTTAGCTGACTGTGGCTAACTCATAGCAGAGCTAGCATGAAAACAGACTACTTTACACAGTCTGCTGCTGTCAGGAGCTAACAGCTAGCAGCTGGTGTGAACACAAACAGTGCAGGTGGATCATTAAAGTGGGTGTATAGACAGAAGCATATGCTGCGGTAGTTTTATTAGTAGTGTTTGTTTTTTAAATCATGCAGAAAGATGACGCCCTGTTACTGGTGACGAGTTTTTAATATTCCAGCAACAGTTTTACACATGTACCTAAAATACAGATGTCGTGTTTTAGTTATTTTGCAAATAGGTTGACATAAATGCATGATACAAAACATAGTGATTAAAATTTTAGAATTGTTGCAAATTACGTCAAAAGGGTTCAACGTCTTAATTTAAAAACTGCAAAACAAAATCTAATATTTATTTATGGCTCAGACTTTACAAGACTACAAACAGTTTAAAGTCTGAAAACAGAAACATGGAAAAGTTCAAATATAAATGCAAAATAAGAGCCAGGAGACAGAGACATTGTCTCTTCTTCTCCTTTGTATTGTTTCTTCTCAACCTGTTAATGAGGAGGTTTGTCCTGAAATAGGCTGAGGACTGTAATTTCCCCTTAGATTCACCATAAACCACTGAGGTGTCAGTTTGTTTTACTCACGTCGTACGCCAGGCTGTCAGCCTCGTTGGCCACCGTCAGTCCAGCCAGTTCTCTAGTCCAAGCTCGTTAGAAACCGCCTCGTCCACTCTGCCCAGTATGAAGGATTTCCCTGGTGATGGCAGGAACGTCATCGCCTCTACAGGGACAAAACCAGCAGTGTCAAATGGTAACATGGGTGACTTTATATGAATGTGTTATTTTCTGTTACACCTGCCCCCCAGTGCAGCAGTGTGGGTCACTGGGGGGATCCAATCGTTGGTGGACAACAGTGGAGGTCTACGGCACAGAGCAATAAGCTGGACCAGGGTCTGGACTCACACACATGATGGTGAGGACACCACATCCACTGGTGCTGCTGGTCTCTGGACAGGGCTTGTGACTGAGTGTCTCATATGTTAAGACCTCCTCAAACTGACCTGACGAAGCTCTAACCCGGTGTTTAAGTGTAAATAAGATGCACATTGTACAGTTAGAGTACAACACAACTAAGGGGCGAGTAAAGTGAGAAGGAGGGCAGCGTACCTTCATCTGGACGTCCCAGATCATGCTCATTGAGTCTGGGTACACTGGGCCGGGAGGGGGGCGTCACAGCAGGCTGTATGGGGGGAAGCTCCTCAGCATCCCGCAGGTTAGCCAGCATGTCCTGCAGCTTGGACCGGTTTGGTCCTGGAGGAGGAGGAGGGGGAGGGGAGCATGATGAAGGAAGTGAATCAGGAGGAAACATGGAGGCAGGGGATCAATGGGAGGAGCAGGTGTTTGTGACAATCAGCAAAGTGAAGGCAAAGGAACCTTTGTTAGTTCATACTGTCACAAGAGTGGAATAAAATCTGAACAATGTGAAAAAGCCAGCAGCATTAATGGTGGGAATAAACCAGCAGATGGAGGCAGCGGCTGCAGCTCAGCAGATAATCGAGCAGAGATGAAGACAAATAAACTCACAGGAACCAGAAGTTTGGGGAACTGAGGAGTCCATCAACATGTACAGACATGAAGAGACAATAGGGAGCCATCGGTACGGTCACTGGCCATGATCTTCACCAGTATGGGAAAACAAGGATGACAGATCTCTCCAGTGGTGATAAATGGATTCAAACTCTGTCCTGCTTCAGACGCACGAGT